ACCGATACGGAGGCAATATGGGCCGAGACGGAGCTTGTATATTAATTTGATCTTTTGATTGAAATTTTTTTTTTTAACATAACTAACATAATTTAACATTAAGGCCCTATTACACTAGCACTTTTTCCGTCAATTGACGGAACGCCTCCCAGACCAAGACGGTTACGACCGTTTCCGTCTGACTAATTTCCGGGTTGATCTTGTGCTATTAAAAAAATAGATAGGATGAGAGAATGTAAACATAAGCTAATATTTTAGAACATTCGTATATACAATATACATCATATTTCTTAAAAGTAACGTAATATGAATGAGAATGTTCGTGCGAATCCCGGGACCTCACTCCGATCACGCCATGTTTGTTTACATGATTTTCATACGGAGTTCATTCGAAAACGCAAAAAATGACGTAAAAAGTGCTAGTGTGATAGGGCCTTAAGTCCACATGATAAAAATTGAGTTCGTATCTGGCCTGGGATCGATGATTTATGGAGCACATTGTTGTCTCCTGTTTCGATTTGTGTAGGCGCGCGGACATAATGTATACAAGATTGGCTGGACTTAAATAGTTATATATAGTATAATTCTTGCATTAAAATATAAGAATAAGCTCCGTTTCGGCCCGTTTTGCTTCCGATTCGGTCAGTGTCGGTCACCCTCGCAGGTTCATAAGAACAGCGAAGCGAACCAAATCGGAAGCAAAACGGGCTGAAACGGAGCTTGTAGATTATTTTCATATTTTAAAACAAGAATTATACCTTTTGTAACTATTAAAGTCCAGACACTCTTTTATCCAATAAGGCCGCGCCCGTACACAAATCGAAAAAGGACTGAACATGTATCAACTCAATTTTCATTATGTGGGCTCTAATAGTTATTTAAAGTACAATTTTTGCATCAAAAGGTAAAAATAATATCTTCCAAGCTCCGTTTTGCCTCCGTTTCGGTCCGTTTTGGTGTTCTTACTCAAGCCTGCTCCCTTCCTCCTTGTTACCAATAAACTGCATATATGTTTACCCTTTTTTTCTGTATCTCCATAAGGTCACCAGCGCTGGCTACCAGACGGTGCTGTCGTCGTGCTGGTACCTGAACTACATCAGCTACGGCGTCGACTGGCACAAGTACTACGAGTGCGACCCCCAGGAGTTCAACGGTGAGTGACGTCGAGGGCGACCGAGGCGGTTTCTGCCGCAGGGCGTTTCTGTTTTGATTTTGGTGAGTCCAGCGACCGGCATGGGCGAGTGTGGGTATGTGGGTATCCGCCAGAGTCGTGAGAGAATTTGCAGGGGCGAAGTTTCCAAACGAAGCGCGTCGTGCCAAGGCCCTTCCTCACACCTCCCTCCCCGCAGGTACGGCGGCGCAGCAGCAGCTGGTGCTGGGCGGCGAGGCGTGCATGTGGGGCGAGTACGTGGATCGCACCAACCTGATCTCCCGCACGTGGCCGCGGGCATCCGTCGTGGCGGAAAAACTGTGGAGCGCTGCCGCGCACACCGCCGACGCAGACGCCGCTGCGCCCCGCCTGGAGGAGCACCGGTGCCGACTCCTCGGCAGGGGCTACGACGTTGAACCGCTCTGGCCGTCCTTCTGCCCGTCCGACCTCTAGAGCCGAGGACGATGTCTGCGAACCGCGAAGGACCGGTCTCCTCCATCCTGTGCAATGGCCCGGGATTTTGTACGCATAAAAAGACAAGAGAAAAAAATAAACCATCGTATCATACATCAAGGCTTAATATCCCCTGTATTTATGGAAGATGGGCGTAATTTTTGTTAAAATCAAGGCGCAGAAAAATTGAGAAATAATTTTAGAGCATAAGGAATTCATGGAAAATGGAAAAAAATTAACATGTTAGGTGCTGGAATTTTAGGAGAATAAAGCCTGTTTCATGTGATTAATGAGAGAAAAGGAAACGACACTATTAGGAGATCAAACAGACAAGGAACATATCTTACGAGATTGTGAATGTGTGAATTATAGTGTGCGAGTGTAGAGTATAGAGTGTGCTCTATGTACGGATTCGTTTGGTTTCTAAATGAGAGTACGTATGAATGAGATATTTTCCTAAAGCAATCAACAAGTAATATATTGGACTCTTGACTTATTTATTGATTGATCATTTCTTTGCCTCACTTTCATCACACTAGCAAGCTTTACCCATTCTTGGTAGGACGATTAGCATTTATGTGAAAGTTTAAAGGGGTGGAATTTAGCCGAAAAAAGGAGTGGAAAGGAAAGGGAGGGTTGATAACAAAGACAGGATAACAACATATTATAGATCATGGTCATAATAATGACCGCCAATAATGTTACTAGTAATGATAATATCGCTACTAATACTTTGATGATGATGTTTATGATAATAATAATCATCATAATATTGCCATAACGACGTCGATATCGAAGACGAAGACGATTAAGATGATGATGTGATGATGGTGACGGTGATAAAATAAGGATAATGATAATCATCATAAAAATAACAATAATAATGATCATCTTCATAATAATAGTGACAAAAATAGTAATGATAACAAAGATGATAGTAATCGCACATTTTTTTTTAATACTAATGGTTTTAATGATTATAATAAGAAGGATGGTTTGCAATTATTCTTACTATTATTTGTTGATGTCCATATCACGATATTTATAATAAGAAGGGGATAGGAGTACAAAGAAAGAGAAACACCCGAACACGAATTGTGAAAATAATTATATTTTTTTCTTACCTATTAAGGCCACACCAGTTGTATTTGTTGCTTCTCGAGTTTTTTCAGAATAAATGGAGCAACAGGGCGAAACAATAGCAAAAAGTCTCTGGTGAAGATATAGGGCTTACAGAACATAAAAATGAAGAGGATTATTCAAGTTTTTAGGCTTTCATGGCATGTTTTATGTAGTGAATCCCGTCCTTTGATCTATCACTACAATTTCAAATAAAGAACATTGTTTTGACTGCATTTACGTGTTGCATATACTAATAATATTGTGATTTTAGTTTTGCATGATGTCAATCCAAAGTTAAGTAAGCCAGTAACGAAAAACAAACAACCCGGACCCAAGAACCAAAAACCCGCACAACAAAATGTTGGTGTCGGGTCCCTTTCCACTAGTATTTTGTTGTTTTCTTTGGCATGCAAACTTTCAGCTTTACAAAGAAAACATACTCTACGGTCTGCATGCTCTATAAATTACTCTACAACTAAACTCTAAACTATAATAACCTTACTTAAAGTTTAAAACTATGTCTGTTTAGTCGTGGAGTTTAGAGAGGCACACACCAGCACACAAAACCTAAGGCACCATATTGTTTTGAAAGATAAGACGCTTCCTGATTGGTTGTCCTCTAACATGTGACTACAAAGAAGCTCGCTGATTGGTTTCCGGCAACATGGGCCTCTAAGAATTTCAGGCCTAATTTTTTTTTTATGCTAAAAATTAAAGCGGCGAATCCGAGAAGCCACAAATGAAATTGGCGCGGCCTAAACCTGAAAACAAAAGTAACCAAAGCATTATTTCAAATGTAATTTCCAAAGGTCGTTGAACTAAATGAATACGAACGACACAGCAAATAACTGTCATTCGCATCATTTGCAATTCTAATCGAGTTGACCTAGGGATCTGACCTATAGAGCTCTGATTTGTTAATGATAGCAGGTGTCCAGAAGTCCCAGATGTCCTGTTCACCGTAACTAACGACGTGCAGAGGGGGAGGAGGGGGTGGGGAGGCGAAGGTGCGGTGGCCCCGTCTCCAAATGAAGGGGGATTTTGAAATTTACATCCAAATCGAATAAAGTGTTTATTTCATGTTTCACCTAGGTCTTCGTATTCAAAATATCTCCCTTTCTCATAATATTCAGTGCTAGGCCTTATACTTGAGTCTTAGGGTTATATACATACCATCAAGGAGTGAGCCCCAGACCTCAGCACGTCACTGGCACAAATTAATGGCCTTGGAATTAGCACCAGAAATGTGTGTGTGTGTGCTTGATGATATCAGTGCTCGCGATTGCCCTTTTGTTGGACGAGCGGCACGAAACAAGGGCCGGGGATGCGTCTCACAAGCCGGAACACGAATTTTTAAAAATCATAGTATCTCTACTTAGTTCACATTTTAGCTGCACGCCATTTTCGTCACTCAGTCGCTCGTAAGAAGGGCCATGAGGGTTCAGTAAGATGAACTGTACGCAATATGATGATATATGTGTATATATTCAGACAGGGCTTGCAGATTTATTAAAAAAAAAGAAAAAAACATACATTCGTACATACATATATGGATAAAAGAAAGAACGAGAGAAAGGAAAGTATAGGGAATTGATGAAAAAAGAAATAAAAGATGAAGAGAAAAGTTTTGTAAATGTTGGTAAACTTTATATATATATATATATATATATATATATGCATGTGTGTGGGGGGGGAGGGGGTTTATGGAAATATATATATTCATTTATTCATACACACATAAACACACACTCATACACACAGTCTTGATTTTTAAATATCTTCTGGAATAACTGACACAGACATACTTACATACAGAAGGGAGGGTGGGCACTAATGTTGTAGCGCACTCATGATAGAAAACCTCGCAATAGATATATATACACACACACACACACACACAAACATATATATGTATATATATATATATATATATATA